GATGCATGCAGGATAAAAGTAAGAGCAGGCTTAAAGCTTATATCAATAAGCCTCTGAAACATTATGAGAACCTAGCTATCATTTGTGGGGATGATCAAGCAAGAAGTAACTTTGCTAAAGCTTCATTAGAGAAATTTGGTGGTCAGGAGCCTATTAACCTTGCAGATTGACAATAAGGATGTTAGCGTTCCTATGACCCAAAAGTCCCATCACACGGTCAACTTGTTAGATGAAGATAATCAATCTCAAAACAACAACGTCAAAGCAACCAGCCAGGACAATCAAAAGAAAATTCCTTCGGCTAAAGGGAGGGAGAAGAAGGCCCACTATGAGCATGAGATCATGCAATAAATGGTAGACGAAGTTAAAAACTTTTCTTCATCTCTCAATCTTGTTAATCTGCACTGGACAGAGAAATTGTCCAAAGCTATCTTCAGGTACAAAGATACTTATCCAATAGAAGTCCTTGAGCTTTTTCATGATACCATATATGAGGATAATTCCAAGGGCAGACATTTTATAGGTAAGAGTGACTTTGGCCAAAGGGCTTTGTTGGACAATTTCATGAAGAGGCAAGATGGGGGGAAGCTAGTTTGACAATCCAGGTATTGCTTTGATCTGGTGCTTAAATGGTTGCAATAGCTATCTAATATAATCCACGCTGATTTCTTTACCTATTGTTATTTACAGGAACATTTTGGAGCTGGATGAGACATATTTATTTTGCACACTAGGCCTAACAATGATATTATTATGTTGTAAAACTTCTAGGTGGTGGGTATGCTTGCATATTTTTGGATACGATGCAGTAGCTACGTTTGTGATTTATGATGCAACCTGTATATTATGTTGAGTGATGCTTACGATGGAGTTGTGCAAAGTTTAATTTTGGTTACACTGATTTTTTGCCTAATTTTAGGTGCCACATAGGATTCCATGCCATGATTGAGGTGTCCCATTCATCGCTAATACAAGCCGGTATGACAAGTTGTCATTTTTTTTAACTTGGACGGTGCTATGATGAGTGCATGCAACTATTATATGCAATCACATGTAACATAACAATGTCAAGGCGAGGCAAGTTCATGTTGGCCACAACCATTTAACATATATTGCAGTCTTTGATTGTTATAGCTACATTGTACATGCGTAACTGATTGTTAATGAGGAGCCTGAGCACTGTTTTTTGATGCAGTTTGTATATGCATGCACAACCTACTGCAATGATGATTGTCTTTTTTCTGATATTCTAAGATAGTAAATATTACATGCAATGTTTTGGCGAGGCGGTCCCAACATTTACTTAATGAGCTGAGGAGTAACATGTAAAGGAATGCGACCAACATTGCGATGCAAGTGTTTACTAGTGTGGGATATATGATGATGTAGACATATATATGAGCACATTTTATCTAACTTTGTTTGTCATTCTCACCATTAGATAATACCTCTGCATTTTTTGATATGAAGATGTAAAATTGGGTTAAATAATACTTTGTTTTATCTCACTTTGTTTATCATGATTTCATGTCTGGATTCATGATTTGTTTATTATGATTTCATGTCTGGATTCATGAGGCATTTCACTGCATATTTCTTTATTGTTCTGGATTTTCCCAGACTATTACACTCTTTAACGCATTTCACTTTGTTTGTTTCCCAGACTATTAATTTTTTGTATATAATAGGTGCATAACTTACTTCTCTATACTTAGGGGCTGTTTTCACCTTTCTGTTTTCTTGTGAGTATAGTGCTGGATTTTATTGTTGTGAAAAATACATTTCTGATGCATTTTTCAGCACAACCCATTTTGCCAAATTTTTTATTTTTTTTACCTGTTTTCACATGTGAGTATTTTGCAGCACTACCCAATTTCCCAGACTATTACACTCACATGTTCTGGATTTTTCAGCACTACCCAGTATAGTCATCAGAGAGTTTTATTGTTCTGGATGTCTGAATTCAGATATTAAGTTCTTGTTTGTTACATGTTTTCACATGTGAGTATTTTGCATATAATAATTGCAGTTGGAGTTATTGCTTTTCTGCAATTTTTGTTACATATATACATGAAGGGATTTGCATCTCATTGTTTTTTCAATATGTTCACTTATGTATTTGAACTCATACATTACACATGAGTCCTTGCATTCTAAAGAGATTTATGCATTATATTTATAAAAAAAGTAGATTACAATGTTTACGACAACAAGGAAAATACTAAATATTCCTAAGACAACAAGTCTTTTCTTCAATTAATCGACTTGTTGATTTCCAAACTTTAATTCTCTTCGCAAATGCTTTATTTTCATATCTATTATTTCTGAAACATTATGAGGATAGGCTTCATATTTGATTGCTTTACCTTTTTTGACATCATGCTCATCTTCTGCCCACCTAAAAAATTGCATTGCCTATTTCGGTATTTGGCGCAGCCCTAAAAGTATTTGCCCTTATTCGATCCATTTTTGCACAATTTTAATGGCATCGGTATTTTACAATGGAAAGTTACCTCTGCAGCTCTATTTTGAGAGATTTGGGTTGTTTCCATGGCTTAGCTAAGCTTGTGAAGAAGCCTCTTTGGTTAAGTATTTGCTCAGGCTTCTGCAGTTTGAAGAGAGGAAATAAGTTGAGGGGAGATTGATTTGCAAATGTTAATTCAGCATATCCCAACTATATATGTGCATGCATGAGTTACTGTGACGAATGAGGAGGCTCATGTCACTGCTTTCTTGTTTATTTTTTGCCCGTTGCTAAAATTTTAACGTTGTCAGGCTCTTATCATTGTTTGGGAGGTAAGCTCACCGTGGTGAGCTTATATATGTTTCTCATTTTGGGGAGTGTGCATGCCAAACAAATGAAGTGGAAGAAATGTGAAAAATGACTATGGTTTCTTTATTACATAGTGTTGTACCAAACATGTGAAAAGGAGAGCTTTGTTTTTAATCACTTGATTTCACTATGAAACAAACAAAATATCTCAAATCAGGGAAACCCCATTGAAATGTCAAGAAATAGTTTTCATCCTACATTTCTGTTTTTTTTCCAGAAATGTACCGAACAACCACTAATTAACAATGATGAGATAGAAAAGAAACCGCACTCTTGTGTGTCTCAAATATCTCACAAGAACAATCATCTGTACGAAAATTACAGAAAAAAGGAAAAGCTAAAATCAGAACATAGGAAGAACCAAAAAAGGGGGAAATCAAAACGAAGGAAGTGGTAACTAGTTAGGGAACATTTGGCAACCGTGATGTTTTTGCCGTTTCTATTTTTTTTCAACAAAAACAAAGAAACGTGTTTGACAAACGAGACGTTTTTTTGACTTGTCCCTTTACAAAATCTAAAAATTAAACATTTTTCTCAAAACATCAAAAAGTTGTTTTGAGATTCTGTTTTTTCATCTAAGCCATCGCCGCCCTCCTGTCACAAGTCCGTGCAGGCCCGGAGGTGGCTTGCCCGTCGCCGCCGCCAACCCCAAGACAACGTCCGCCTTCTCTGGCCCCGCCGCTCGCAACCGTACCGACCGCGCGGCGGCCGCCCGCCGCGTCCACCGGTCACGAGCCGCCACCGCCATCGTCTCCCCGGCCCCGCCGTCGTCCCCGCCCGAAGCGCCGCGCCACCCTCCACTCGCCGTCGCTGGCAATCGCCACCGGCTGCGCCGCCACCACGGCATCGCTATGGATCGGCACCAGGTCGCCAGCCCACGGCCACCAACCCGCTGGCCCGTCGCCGCCTTGCTCGTTGGCCTGCCGAGCGGACCACCTGCCGTCGCACACCCGCCGCCACCATGCCACCGCGGCCACTCCGCCACCGCCGTCGGCCCATCGGACCGGGGCTGCCGGCCACCCTCCCCCGCCGCAGCCAATTGTCGGCGCCCCGTCCGGCTGCCGCCACTGGTCGACGGCCACCGCCATCGCGCCCACCGGCCACCACGCGCCACCTCCTCCGTTGGCCACGCCGCCCGCCGGCGCGCCTGTCGGCCGGCCGCCCCGACGGCTCGCCGCTACCCCGCTAGAGCCGACGGTCGTCGTTCACTGGGCACCGCCGCCGTCGCCGCCCGCCCACTGCCGCTATATAAATGGTCAAACTAGTTTGACCAAATGGTGTTTTCAAAACACATTTGAAAAAGAAACACCATGACATGGTGTTTTTTACAAAAACTAAACAAAAAAAAACACATTGATTAACCAAACACACCCTAAAGTTTTTTCACAACGTTGAACCTTGATATCACGTGAAATCAACAAACTGCTCAAGGCACTTACAACACCGATCGTGAGCAGTTGTCTATTTCGATTCATTTTAATAATTCTGCTCATATTTTCCAAAATGGTCCAAGAGCAATTGCCTATCATAGCATCTGGCACGCTACTTTCAGTGTGAATCATCACACATATCGCATGAAAATCCAATCTAACCATTCTTCAAAATCTCATGACTGAACTCAGGTTCATACATAATGTGCTTGATCTGATCGTTCAACGCAAAATTATCAAAAGCAGGCGTTCCAAATATGCATGATCCATCAAACATCTATTGAAGGCTTGTACAGGAGGAAGAAACACAACGCTTACAGATTTCATACCCTTTCTCAAGGCCTTAAAAAGGACAGCAAGTCGGAAAATAACCCCGTTAGGCGAGCAGCTTATAAATTCTGAAACTGCTATTTGCACTAAAGACCAAGGAGCGCAGAGGCCTTGATAACTCATGAATTTGATCGCAAATCACGAGGAAGAACACCGACATTTTCTGTTCCTGTAATGCGAAAGTATTCGATTTAGAGTGTAGTTACCATTGCTCAAAGAAACACATGTAACCTGGCAGATACCTGACCGATTGTTTCATAGCTAATACAAACATTCAGTATGAAAGGACACATCGGTTCCTCTTTACTCAATTTTCACATAGAAAATGCTCGTCGTCACGGACACATAATTAAACAAAAAATCACAAAAAAAGGAAATAAAAAAGCTATTAAAACTTTTTGCACTGCCTAGTTTCTCATCGCCTCAAACTCTAGAAGATGGTAATCAAGAAGCCTAACGCCACTCATATCTTCTCTTGGCAGAGTCTCCAATGACACAGCAAATGGAACACGAGGAGAAGTATCGCCAGACTTACCCAAAACTTTTTTCCGACAGAGTGGGCAATCCGAATGAGAGCTCAACCAAGTATCAATACAGGAAACGTGAAACGAGTGCGAGCAGCTAGGCAGAACTCTCAATAACTCCCCTTCTCCAAATTCCGCGAGACAAATTGCACAGTCAGAGCTGCCAGAGTCAGCATCCTTCTTGTATTGATTTGCCTGTAGAGAGTTTATAACGTCGATATTGAGACCTCGAGTCTCAGAATCTAATGAAGGGGTTTCTGGATTGTGATCAGAGGGTAGATGTCTCTGATATGTGAAGACTGAGAGATAGATATCTTTTAGGAGCTTGTAGAGGCAAAACAGGAGTATGAGAGCAGAGGCTGCTCCAATGAAGGAGATTGAGAGCTTGCTCCATGTTGAACTTGAAGAAGAAAATAATGAACCTTCAAACATATTCACTGAAATAATAGTGGGAGGAGGCAATGTAGTTGGGCGTCAAGCTCATTTTGACAAGGCGGAGTTAGAAGAATTACAAGTTTGATGGGGATGCGACCAACATCTTTCTGAGACTACAAAGCTGGAAGAGTCCAAAGAGGAAGAGTTAAGACATGATTCTAACACGGCAGACAAAAGTTATAGGGTTAATTGCAGATTGACCCCCCGCACTACAGCCCAATTGCGAACACCCCCCCAGTAGTTCGGTTGTTGCAGATACATCCTTTGACTGAAAGTTTTGACTCTTTCGCCCTCAAGGGGTATATTAGTACAAAACAAGCTTCTCTTCCTCTGAGGGTAAAAGAGTCAAAAAAATAACTCGGTCCGTCTACCTGCTATATGGGATCTATCTGCAATTAACCCAAATTATACTGTTTGTTGTATAACGACATTTGGCATCCATTCTTTTACCAGCATCAAGAGCTAGAAAAAAGTTCATCTTCTACAGAAAAGGGCATTCCTCTCAGGAAACCATTAAAAAATAGATCCTGAATTTGCTGATTTAAGTTACAAAATTGACTACTAACAGCAAATTATTCTTCATAAAAAAATCACAAAACCCCAGAAGCACAAACGTATTTGAAAATTTTAACTATCTGATCCAGAGGTGTGGTTCTCTTTTGGTGAAGCCCACTGTCGGCTAGCACGAGATTTAGTCCATGGATCAAGAGGGGTTCGTTGAGGAGGTGGTGGGGTTGCGGGTTTGGCTTCTCTGAGTTCATTCTCTCTGTCAACAAACCTGGAAAAACAACAGAAATACAATCATATAACTGAAATAAATACATAAATGGTATTGTTCTTCATCCAGCACATCATAACACTTCTGTGTATGTCAATATGAAAACAAGAAACAAAGTTATTCGATCTTCCATAACATGTATAACAATTTTTTTAGATGAAGAATGTAAAAGGCTATACTTATATAAAGGAACTACGAAAGGATTCATTTTGTCATTTTTAGTACAAGGCAGACATACTCCACTCTTTTTATCAAATAAAAATAAGAGAATAGGGGAAAACAAATGAAATGTAAGCAGAGAAAAATAAGCAACAAGGGTAACATTGCCTTAACCCAAATCGATGTTGGAAACACTCCAATATGTAAACTGCACGTCAACACCCAGAAAATTCTAAAAATAGTCAAAATAGGAAAGTACAAAATCATTTTCAATATTCAGATTTATATATATTTATCTCTACGTAAAATTATTTTATTATCATTTTTAAGCATTGCTGCTTCATCCCAAGCTAATGTAGTCTAATCCTGCCATGTCAGCCCCCAACAGTAATCTTCTCAATCCAAAGAAGTGCAACTATTGAGATCCATTGCACAAGGCCAAACCAACAAATAATACTCTCTTCTTCCATATTTGTATTGTGCCTATCTCAACTACCGAAGGACATACTGTCTCCTTCTATCTTTTCTGCGTCGGTGCTCATCCATCGACATGCGCAGTTCAGTTATAATCATTTGTTACTGATTTATATTAGCTATACCAAAATCAACTTCTCCTACAGAAATCACCACCATTATCATCTTCAAGAGATGCATTTCCATTTGAGAAAAAGGACCTATAACATAGAAGCCTTCTCACTTTGAGAGCCTTCAAAGATATTGTCATGTTTTATGGATGCATTTCAATGTGAGAAACAAATAAGAACTCTATGTCATTGAATCCTTCCTCTTCTTTTTCAAACTCATAGCCACACCAGGACTTGAAACTTCTGCAACATAATGCCACAGTTTTACCACCTGAGCCAGTAAGCATAACAGGAGCATTTATTATTGCATGAAATACCAAAGGCAACTACTACAGCTGTCAGATCATAGTTGATCCACTAGCCTATCCTCTTAGGAATAATAAAGTTTGCTCCAATACAATTTCATCAGGAATTTAGTATCAATGTTCATTTTTCCATTTTCATCCCTTGTTTTCTATAACCAGCAAGTCTAAAAAATTTGGAGGATGACTACTGATTAAGGGAGGAATAACCTCTGGATGACAATTGACCTTCCAATTTATTAGTTTTTTTCCTGGAATCTTGCTGCACAACCAGTACTATTCAACGGAATAAATAATTAGATGATGATGGTCATTTATTCTTCCATTAAGTTAGCATATAACTCATGCAATCAGATGCGAGTCAGCTGTAGTTTCAAATGGAAAGACTTTTTATGTACAGGACCAAATACAAGTGCATCCTTTTTCCTCGACAGAGCAGTGCTGCACTAGTGACTGAGGACGGAAGGGAGGATTCACACCAACCCATTTTATCAACGAGGGAGAATTTAAAAGAAAATATATGTCAATATGATCTCCTATGCTAGTAACAAAGAATTAGCAAATCTCCTACTCGTGAAAGGAGAAAAAAAACACTAGGTTGTCTCTTAATCATGAAGTAAAGGTTATTGAAACACCTATATAGTTCTTACGCCTTCCTCTGCATGAGTAGATAAGAAAACTTTACAGTGTATTGAACCTTTGTTTATTCTCAACTGATTCAACACAAAGCAGCATTCATACATGCCATTTCCTGCAAAGAAATTATGAACTTGAGGATAGATTAAGATATAAGGAAAGAGGTATTACTCGATGTACGCCATAGGAGCAGCATCTCCCATTCGTATGCGAGTTCGTAATAATCTTGTATACCCACCTGCTCTATCCCTAGTATTAGAGAAAAATTTTGAACGTGTTAACAACAACACACTTTGATAACAAGGAACAACGTAAATATGTGAAGAGAAGTTACTTATAGCGATAAGCTAACTCTGTGAACAACTTGTGAAGAACATCATCCCCACGAACAAAAGCAGCAGCACGCCTCGCAGCAGCTAGAGTACCCTGAAAAGAGTGAAATAACTATTGAGCAAAAGAATAGCCGGAACACTAAGCCGTATGGAAACATGTTGAACGTCAACTTCGTAAAGCTCGATGTTTTACTAATTACATAAGTAGGGCAACATAACCATACATCTTTCAAAGTCAAATCACGTTCTCCTATTTCCTACTGAAAAGATTTAATCAACCAAAGTCATGCGGTACAAGGTGAGCCATATAATACTTTGTTTTCATGGAAAATCGAGTGATGAACCAAAACATAGTGTCCAAAATCTCTTATCATTGTTTAATCTCTATAATACATTGCCTTGGCTTACGGGATCTTGTTTAGTTGTTGGGACAACGAGAAACATGCACAAAAGTTTAGTGGGGCACAAAAGTTTAGTGGGTTATCTTTTCTTTTCTTTTCTTTTCACATTTAAACCCCACATTGTCATTAGCTAGCTAGCTCTCGAACAATGCTAGCAGACAATTTCCCTTTCTATAGACGAGCAAATCCTAAATAAAAATGATTGTAATCTGACAATTACTAAAGAATAAAGACAATTTAATCCAAACCAAATAAATTAAATCTTGAATTTTTACTTGAACAACGCACCTCTTTTCCAAGCTGCACCATGTTATCAGCAACTCGACGCACTTCCTTCGCCTGACTCAGGACAACAATAAATTGAATAAAAATAATCCAACAATTATTCTTTTAAAAAAATTAAGCAACGATTCTAGTGAACACCGACAACCACCAACTGTTCGACAAAATGACACGACTGAGGGACGAAGGAGAGCAAGATTCCGTACCTTTGCAACGGTGGTCTCGATCCGCTCGTGCTTCACGAGTTGAGACACCATCGTCCTGCAAAGTTTTGGAAAAAAAAAAAACAAAATCAAAATCAAAACCCTAGAAATTTGAGTGAGGTTGGGATAGGGAAGGATCGAGAGAGGGTACTTGAGCATGGAGACTCGGTGGGCCGCGGGCCGGCCCAGCTTGCGGAACTTGGTCATGGTGGAGGAGAGAACGGGATCACAGCAGCAGCGGCCGAAGAGGGGAGGGAGGAGGGGCGGTCAGGGTTTTTGTTGAATCGGGCTTCGGCTTTGGGTTTTAATTTGGACTCGGATAGTGGGAGTAGGCCCATTTGGGCCTTGTTGTGAATCTTATTCTTAAGTCAGTAATAGGCCGACTAGCTTAAGGCCCGTTTCGTTGACAGAAATGTCAACGTTGTGGATTGTGAAGTAGCAGGAGCATATATTTTTTCTTTCACCCGCAATTTTTGGAAGTAGAGCGAATAGTAATTATTCTGTTTTAATTTATTTTTTTTGGATTGGCAATTATAAATATTTTAGGAATAGAGAAATGATTTTTCGATATTTTTTATTTAGAAATGGAGAGTGTTTATGTGACATTAAAATTGTTTTTAATTCCTAAATTGAACATATTTTATCTATTTTCTATGGTGTTTTTGAACTTTAAGGGGATGCAGAAGATGTAACTAGTATGGATGCCGCATAAGGGTCATGTCAGCATTTGCTGAAGTAACAAAAGGGCTTTTTCAGATGAACAAATATACTCATTGCTTGAAAGCATCAAAAAAATCATCAGCTTCTTTTGCTTCACGTGCATCATAATTACTTTCACACAAACAAACATATCTTTTAGGAGTTGTTTTGTTGTGCAAAAAATATCAGAAACAAGAATTAGATCAAATAACCAAATTCTAAAATATGAAGCAGGAAGTGGCGGAAGTAATATCTTTTTTGGAAAATTTGTCTCGAGGCCCCCAAAAGCAAAACTTTATGTGCCCTACCCTCGTGTATTATTTCCCTTGTGTTTCAGCACCAAATACAATGGGGTTTAATGATTTAGCCCCTTTTTACATTGTCAAAAAAAAACCAAGAAAATACCAAAAATACCCCTCGTAGTCTCCCCCCCCCTCAACAACTATGGTTCTCCTATCTCTTACCCCTCGTAACTCAACCTTCTCCCTAAATCCTCTTTGCCTTTGACATCGATGCCGCCACTATCGATGTTGTGTCTCCCTCCTCTCCCTCACCTAAACCTAGCCTTAACCTTACCATTTATCGCTCCTCTTCCCTTTTCTCCTCTCCTCTTACTCTCTCCTAACCCTCTTCCTCTCCCTCTTCATCTGCCCCTCTGACCCCGTCATCTACCTCTCTCGTGCTCCACTTTGCCACTACCGGCTTCGAACTCATGCTCAACTAGTTCAACAAGACCTCCTCTTCTCAGCTTGTCACCATCTTATCCTCTCTCGACCACCTACTCTCTGAGCTCCCTGCCATCTCCAACTTGATTATTTTGAGTAGTATGTTAAGTTGTTATATGATATGTAGCGGTTTGGAATTGCTTGTAAAGTGTTTGATGAAATGCCAAAAGAAAGATGTGTGAGGTATTTGCAAGTTTAAAGCTTTGGTTTGGAAACAAAGTTCAAATTTGTAGTCCGTGATAATGATATGTGAGTCATCTTATCATTTAAATGCAAAAGGAAAATTCAAAAGTTATGATCGAATGCACAATTGTGTTCAATTAGAAAATCCAATATTAGCCTTAGCCAAATAAAGACGAGAAAAATCACTTTAAAGCAAAAATTAAAGATGACAAAACATACATATTTCTATACAGTGTTGACTCAATTTACTCCAACCACTTCATAGATATTTCTATACACAAAAACATGCCCTTAGAATTCGGATGGGCTAAGACCCGCGCCAGGACACCTTTGAAACACTTCAAATTGCCAAAAACTTATAAAAGATGGATGACAATTTAAATGATTTAAGGGACTAATTTCAAAACGATTTATAACAATTGAGGGACGTAATCGCAATCCAACGTAAAAAGCGAGTCATTCGTAATTAACCATTTTAGGTGGATGCAACTGCATAAACCATAAACCTTGCCGCCGTCCCCCCGAAAATACCCGGCAACTCCCCAAGCATCTACGGCTACCATTTCAATAAAACTTGCCGCCGTCCCCCCGAAAATACCCGGCAACTCCCCAAGCATCTACGGCTACCATTTCAATAAAACCAATCCAACGGCCCAAAATCAACCCCCGACCCCTCGACAAAAAAAAAAGACCTCTCCTTTTTCTCATTTCACTCGCCAACCACCTGCAGACGTCGACGGCTGGAGCTCGAATCCATGGCCGCCTCCATCCCCAACACACTCTCTCGCCCGCCTCTCTCTTCAATCCCTCCATCGAAGAACCCTCTCAGTCTTCTCTCTCCCAAATCCCTTCGCTTTCCTCGGAACCCTAGCTCCAAATTCGCCACCGCATCGATGAGCATCGAGGCCCCTCAGAAGTCGACCAAGCCCTCGTTCTTGGATCGGAAGGAATCCTCTTCGGTCCTCCGGTTCGTGAAGTACCACGGCCTCGGCAATGATTTCATCATGGTGTTTAGCTTTTCAAATTTAGTTTTTGTGGGTATTTCTGGCTTGGGATTTTGGTTCTGATTTTGGTGGTTTAGGTTGATAACAGGGAGTCGATGGAGCCTAAGGTTACCCCTCAGCAGGCAGCGAAGCTTTGCGATCGCAATTTTGGGGTTGGTGCTGATGGGGTTATTTTCGCGATGCCGGGGACCAATGGAACTGATTATACCATGAGGATTTTCAATTCAGATGGCAGTGAGCCTGAGGTAGTTTGTCGTATCAAGGATTTTATCAATGTACATTTTCTTTGCCGTAGTTTGTTTAAGTTATTATAGTTAAAATACTGTAATATGTAGTTTGTAAGTAGCATTTTCACTAATTTTATGTTGTGTTTGATATGAATGGAGTTATCATGAACTCTATTTGTACTGCTTATTTTTGCGTGTTACGGAGTTGAGAAAAATCTAGTCTGATTGGACTTCTCTAAACTGTAATTAAGTTCATTAAGACTATTGCTAATTAAGCATACTTCAAGTATATATTTTTAGGGTTGAGAAAGTTAACTACAAAGAAACAGTAGTGGAAGCTTAACTTGCAAAGCCAAAGAGATCTAAATCCTCGACTGCAGTTTTCTAAACCACAGGTTCACTAATTTATGTTGTGCTTGGATACAGAGTGGGGTTACAAACTATATTTTTATAAGTTTCCTTTTTAGTTTTGCAGTTTATAAAAATTCAATCTGACTAGGGTTGTCTAAACAACAGGCAAGTCTTAACTTTTGAAGATACCCAAGTACAATTTATGCCAAAGAGTGAGAAACATAGATTTTGGAGTGATTGCTTAGTAGCATCATTTGGTGGTTAATGAGTGTGAATTTGTAGTCATCGTATTTTCAATGTGCTAAGGAGAAAGTTTCTTGTTTAATGTTTGGCCTGTACTATATCATACCCACATGTTTATGCTTCTCTTTTCTCTTATGTTTTATAGATGTGTGGCAATGGAGTACGTTGCTTTGCTCGATTCATTGCTGAGCTTGAAAATCTTGACGGGATTCAAAGGTAAATTTATTAATTTCAATCCTATTAATTTTAACATCTTTTGTTGATATAGTTTTTCTCTCTCCATGTTACATTGTTTTTTCTTTTGGATTTCCTCCATTTTGAAGCAGTTGTTTTAATTTATCATTTTTTATATTGACACTTCTAGTTTCTTCATTTTAATTTTTACTATATTTTTGCAGTTTCACCATTCATACTGGTGCTGGTCTGATTGTTCCTGNNNNCCCCCCCCCCAAAAAAAAAAAAAAAAAAAAGAAACACGCGCACACACAAAATGTTACAATGTTACATAATAAATTCAAAGTACTGAAACACCAACTTTTCATGTCTGAAACAATTCTAACTCTGAACTTCTAATCCTTGTTTATGTGTTGTCATTCCTTCCATAATCAAATTACAAGTAACATATATTTATAAAAGATCCTGTCAAATTTTTTTTTCTGTAGTTAGTGAAGTAAATATTTGTTATATTCTTGCTAAACGAGCTTTGTGCTTCTTGACGTCAAAGGCGTATTAAATCCAGCCTTTATCACGCACCTTTCAGGTAAAAGTAGATATGGGCGAGCCTGTGCTTGCAGCACCGAAAGTTCCTACGAAACTCCTAGCAAACAATAATGGAGCAGTTGTACAAGCTGAACTGCCTGTTGATGGGTTAACATGGATGGTGACGTGTGTTAGCATGGGAAATCCTCATTGCGTTACATTTGGTCCAAAGAATTCTGAGGTGATTATTTTTTAAACAGATACATGCTTATTCTAAATTACTGGATTTTCTGTATTATACAAAGAAGTAAATTTTGTTGCCTATTCTAGTTAATTATCTTGTTCATATCCAGTGATATTGAATTGTTTCGTCCCATCTAACGCTATCAGATCGCATGCTTTCTAAATATTTTTAGATAAATGGGCCAGTAATTATGTTGATGGCAGGAAATATTAGTTACTTTTGGTCTTTGCTTTTTATAGGCAAATGAACTTTGTAAGGACCTTTGTGATTTCAGAAGTATTATATGAGAAATGACAGTTTCATGCTATGATTTATAAGTTACTCATACATGTTATCTTATTGTATTTTGGATTCATCTACTATATCAATTTAGTTTGAAATAATTTTCATGTATGTTTAATTTCATTAATCACGGTTGTTAATAGACACATCCTTTCTAAAATCTGAGCATGGTATCCACAGTCATTTATTCAGCTTTTTTTTTTTGGTTCAGAATTAAAAATTTTTGAGTGCATGTATTGGAGCTTTCGATATAAAAGCTCTAGATCCATTTTTCTTCTTTGCCTTTTCCTGAATGGGAACAACACAGGCCCTTTGGCCGATGTTTTGTGCCTTTGGGGTGACTGAAGTTCCCTATACTATACTAATATGCTTTCTTCCCTCTTCGTCTAGATTTCTTCATAGTCTAGAGGAATCAAAGATTGCATATATGTCATAAGTTCAATCATATTTTCAATCTACAAAGTGCTAGGGACCATGATGTATTCACTGTCCGACTTCACCTCCCCTAGCTGTATTTAAAAGGCTCATGCATCTAGCATCATGTAATGTGTTGGGCGCAGAGTCATGCCCTCACGCCGCGGAAGCGATATTACCTGAGAGATAGCCCTGGCTTTTGTTGTCACAAAAGCACAAGCCAACCTCTATATTCCCGTTTCTCAAAGGAAACAAGAATAGAAAGGGAAATATCTCAACAAAGTAAAATATACACTCTTCCTCTCATCAGTTCTAGGACTAAATTGTCGAGGGAACCTACAAACAATAGCCAACACTCAGAAAAACAGTAAATACACGAGATTTACGTGGTTCGGCAAACTTGCCTACGTCCACGGGAGGGGGATTACACTATGAGGAGAATACCAAACTTGTACAACAACCCACAAGTTCTCTCTTCTCACTTCCTCTCAAGTTTCTCACACTCACTCAAGATTTTTCCCACACCACTTTCCCATCTCACTGCCTCTCCTATTTATAGGATAAATGGGTGGGTGTGTGCCCTGCTGGATCCAGCTGGATCCAGCAGACGGAAGATAGGCCGAAGATAGGGGAGCGGCTATTTCTTCCCCCACGTTCCCACTCAAAGCCGGGAACGGCGGGGAGCG